CCCCCCAAAAAAAAAACAACCAAAAAACACATATTCTTAAGCTGATTTTTACCTATCATCGGAGGACTCGGCGTACCACCACTCTAGAAATCATTAAAAAAACTAGTTTTTCTGCGTTAATTCGGCTAACACGAAACTGGCGGGCCGCAGGTCTGTATTAGGCCCACATCTTTGTTTACATTTTCTACTACTCGACTCGACCGCAGGCCATGGTAGATGTATTCCAGGCGCGTCGCAGCTTAACAGTGTTTCGTGAGATATCGCGATAAGCCTGTTAAGCGAGACGTGGTCTGGCGTACACCTAACTTGTTACTAGAAAACTGTGGAGGGCAGTGTCCAAATCTTGTAAACCTGTAAAAAAATAGAAATCGATTTTTGTAAAGCCTATACCCACTTTGTAAATGGGCCCAACAATCGGTCGGGAAGAGTTCGCCACCCCGCTGGACCAAGTTGAAAAAGTCAGGGACGGGATAACCTTGAAAACAAAAAGCCTGGGTACTAGTTGGTCGGAAGGAGTTGTCATGTACCGTAAATGGCATTACTTTCATAAAATGCAATAGAATAATGGAATTATTTATTTTGTGACATGTAAAGCGAACTAAAATGCAATGCACAATACTCACACCCACTGAAAATCACTATATGGGGACCACGATAAGAAAACTTGACAAAAATTTAAGTTAAGTTCAGTTCAATTAAACTTCAGAGCTCGAAAGATTTACATTCACAGACGTTTGTGTACATTCTGGCTGGACATTCTGAAAACAGTTTTAGGAAAGCCTTCTCTGCCAACAGTCTTGCAGCTATCGCAGCTTGGTTTGCGTTTGGTAGACTTGACAGTAAATTTTAAATGGGGGTTCAGCAGCAACATGTCGCACACTTTAGACCAATTGCAAGAAGGACAACCTTGAACTTCCCAAACTATGAGCTCAGTGAGCTTTGGGGCTGTGTGTGGTTGGATGGCACACAGCACGGACGATGACACTGAAGAAAGCAACTCCAGCGTTTGAAGATAAGGGAGATTTGGCAGACAGCCACCGATGTCTTTGCTCGAAAAATCCGCCTGCAAGAATATGATAACTTGTATCACCTATATATTACCAAATGTCACATTCGCGTGATGCGCATTGCAATAAAAATGCCAGTAAATTTGGGATAGCGTGCCAATGATGAAACTCTTATGAACTTGCAGCAAAAAAGAACGGCATTGATTCAAAAAATAGCATGCAAACAAACTTGGATTCAAACTATGGCAAATCTCGTCTCCTATTCCTTATTGCTTAAAAACTCTACGCGTGGGTTTTGCTCAGGGACGCAAGAGCATCTCCAATAGACCCAGCGAGTGCATTGCGAGTGCGAATCGAGCCAACGCGAGTGCGATGAGAGTGAGACGGGAGCGCGATGGAAATGCGGGTGAAAGCGCTGAAAGTGCAATTTGAGTGCACTCGACATGGGCGGTGCTAGGGCGGTGCGGAGTAAAACACTTCTCCGCAGCACTCGTAGCGCATACTTGCCCGCACTCGCATCGCACTCTCAACGCACTCACGTTGCATTCGCAGCGCAATCCAAGGGCAATCGATTCATTTATTAGAATTTAATAGAACTGTGCGTCTCCTCAGAAAAAGAAAACTAAAAGTGAATACTCACGTCGTCACGCATGTCGATGACGAATGAAGATACTTTCGAACGGCCGGACTCTGCCAAGGCCTTCACCAAACCTATCACCCACGCGTCGGGGTTCCAGTCAAAATAGAAGTCTAACTGAACTCTCTTGAGATGAGTCGCAGAGCGCAGAAATGACATGGCGCTAGAATGAGCGGGCGAAATCTCTTCCTCCAACCACACGTGTAACAAGATCGACTTGAGCGTCCGAGAAGAAAGCAGCAATTCCATACCGTTAAAAAGCCGGCATTGTAAAGTCTCTAGGTGCTCGACTTTCACCAGCAGATGAGCAAGCTTCTTGGTGATGATTAATTCGTCGTACAACTGGACTTCACGGAGAGAAGAGGCGTACATCTGAAGAAGCACCTCGAGCAGCGCTGTAATTGTGAAGATAGTAGTCACTTTATGAGAGATGCACAATCGGCTTTTTGACCTGTTGTACTCAGAGTGCAAATAAAAATGCTAGACTAAATGTAAGATATGCGGACAATAGAAGCCTCGATATAACGTTCTAATAAAACTCATTTATTTGTATCGCCAACTGTAAGTTTGAAAGGAATTCGTTCGCAATACGATTAACACTGATAAATAAAATGTGCAACTGGCGTGGCTATACAAAGTGCCTAACACTGTGTAGCACGCTTGTAACTGTTTGACTGGATCTTTGAAAGAATACCAACAAGCGATTTACAGTTAAGTTTAACACTTTGGCGTTGGCCATGAAGCCTTGGACACTCTACAGTGCTTAAATATACCGTTGAACACGTTAAAGTATTATTCAAATATTTATTCAAACACTTAAGTGCGCAAATACGTGCGAACGAAACACTTGTATGTGCAGTGCAGCTCAGTTTCACGCCTTGTTTCCCGGGTAAAAATCTTCAGAGACAATTCGCGTATATCTCGCGTTATCCTTTCCCTGAAAAAAACATATGATGCAACAAGATTATAACTCCAAATGTTCCCCCTGAAGTAGTCGATAAAAGGGCGACTCATGTTGAACTCGTGTCCGAGCTCTCCTCGTTTTTCCGTCTTTTTCGCGTATTCTGACGTTCTATAGAAGTTTCTGGGTGTAATTTTGTCGTTTTTCTCGCGTGCACGACGCGAAGAGGCCGCAGAAAGAACGCCAGTAGAAAGACCAATGGAGCAAGAACGCGAAAAAGTCGCCGGCCGACCGGCCTGCCTGTCAGCCGGACCCAGCGAGAGTAGAACCACGAGACTTGACGAATTTGTCTCGCTATCCACTAGGCCAGAGTGAACGCTGCTCGGAGCCAGCATGCATGGACCCCGCCGTGGGCTGTCGATATTCACACTGGCGTTCGGCCTTGTCTACGTCTACGCGTTCTTTGGTCCACTGGGCGTTCTTCTGGCGTTCTTTCTGTGTCCTCTTCGCGTCGTGCACGCGAGAAAAACGACAAAATTACACCCAGAAACTTCTACAGAACATCAGAGCTCGGACACAAGTTCAACGTGAGTCGCCCATCAATCGACCGCGGTGGAGGTGCGTTCTATCTGCTGTGGTCCCGGTGTTCTTCGCGTTCTTCAGCCATGGTAAAAGCTACTTTAGGGGGAACATTTGGAGTTATAATCTTTTGCATCATGTGTTTTTTCAGGGAAAGGATAACGCGAGATAAACGCGAATAGTCTCTGGAGATTTTTACCCGGGTTATCAGATAAATTTGTTACAATATACAAAGAAAACGTGTTGGCAAAGACTCAGATTTGAGATGTATGAAGTGCACCATTATTAAAAGTACCTTTCTTTTTACTGTAGTAGGCCAGTTTCCGCAGAGAAGGCGGTGGGAAGTCCAAATACGAACGTGCAGCCGGATCAAACTTGACGCGCTTGATGTCAATGGAAATGTGCAGACATGTTAGGCCTTCGACACTCCTGATAGAGCAAAGTAACTCACTAAGACCCGCAGAGGTCATGAGACACTCGTCCGAGAAGATATCTCCGTCCAAAATGGCAATTTTCTTTAGGCGACCAAGGCTCGCATGGTGTCGTATGATGACGGCGCACAAGACGGCCTGAAGGTCGCTATCGGGGTGCAGGGACAGACAGGGGGCCGGTGTTGACGTTGTTGAAGCCAGGAATCCAAACCACCTCAATTCCCAGGACTTTAATGAGAGCTCGCGGCAGGACGGTGGGTTTAGGCGCAGGAGACCTCCTCCAATGGAACGGCACTTCCATATGTCAGGGTGGGTTATAAGGTCACGCCAGCGGCGGCAGACCACCCGGCAATGTAGCAGGTCTTTGTTGCCAACGTATTGCAGCACGGACAAAAGTGTGTCATCCAGTAAGGTCTCCATCTGAAGAGAAAGAGAAAATAGTTTACGTAATCATCTTTATGGCGATATTTAATGACATCACTGCAATAAAAGCTACATCAAGAGTGATTCTGTGCAATCTCGTACAGGTTTCCTAATTAGCGGCCAATGAGCTGAAGAGTTAACAGGACTGAAGGTTGCTCGACATAAGCCAAGCATAATATTTATCAGATTAAAGATCCCTGCCCAAGCTCTCTAGGTGTTTCTAAAGCCTAATCTGCTCGTAACAAGAGATTTAAAACCTGCACTCCGAACTTTTTATTTCAGGCACAAATTGTAGGCCGTACAGTGGACTCTCAAGCCGACGCGTCATGGTCCTTTCCGCAGGGGCACCGAAAGAAAACCCAAAAAATAAAAGTTTGGCTGATCGGGCGCGCCGCTGATGTGGGGCGTGGAAACTAGGTATGAGAGCACAGGGAATTACGAAAACAGCGACAAATTAGAACTGGTTTCAACTACGAAAAAAAAGGATATAGAACGTTTTAAGTGTGCTATTTATGGCAGAGGCATTAACAAACCGTATCCATCTCGAAATTATACATTGAACGAGCCTTAAAAATTGTGTGTCTGATCAAAATTCATTAGTTTGACAAAACAATCAAGTTTCTTGGCTTTGTTACTTCCTAGACCTTCATCACTGTAGACTAACTATTGATTTAAATGGGTGTTCCTATGTGCTCTAAAATGTAGTTCGACTCATTGGACAAAAGATACTTCTTAAATAGAAAAACTGTAATGACTATGGTTTATAGTGCCCCAAGCAACCAAAGGGGTTCTACATCCTACCTTTGATCTTTAACCATCCAAATTTAGGGATGTACCACTCGCCCGGGCGGCAGCGTTTAAAATGCGCCGATTAATAAAGAGGTGGAGGTATTAGGGCACTGTAGTAATAAACTAGACAAGAATTATAAATCAAATAAAATATTTTTATTTGCAGGTCTCTCAACAAATGTGTCAAAAAATACTAATTGACCCGTGCTTTCACCAGCAACCCATTAGAAGACCAAGTTGTTATAAAAATTATAGGCATTCACAATTTTTAACATATCTTTGGTAACACTTTACACGTTGGAGAGCGAACAGAACTTCCAACGGCCTTTATTGATTACATCGAGAGTCAGTCCTGAGAAAAGGCAATCATACCACGGATAAACATCTCTACACTTCCTCTCGCACGCCTTGCACGTCCTACCATAAGGCTGATCTTTGACAGTTAACTTTAAGCGAGGGTTTCGCTTTATCATATCACGAGCCATTCTCCAGCTGCAACAAGGGCAGTCGCCTTGTACACTCTCAACTAACAACTCAGTAAGTTTAGGTATGGTGCCGGGTTGAAGGGCGCTCAGTATGTACGGCGAGACACAACCCACTGTTAACTTCTCGAGCAGGGGAAGTTTTGATGCAATGTTTAAGATGTCACACATCTGATCATCCTGCGAAGAAAGGTTAATTTACAACTATGAATTGGGTTCATACGTTAAGACATAAATGAGAGGTCCATTACTTGAAATAGTGATACTTACGGAAGTTCTCATCATTTCAAATTCAAGACAAGAGATGGCGGATTGGGGGGAGTGCCCCAAGGCCTTGATGAGGTTCATCGTCCACAAGCTATCAGTTACATAGGGCGTTCTCAAGCACACTCGAGTAAGTTGGGTAGCTGTTTGCAGAAAAGTCAGGGTACTCGAGAAGGCAGTTTGTGCAGCATGCCCAGAGTCCTTGACCAGAACGTTAATTTTAAGGCACTTTAGAGAATGGCGCTGAGGCAGGTGCTCCAACCCAACCAAAAGCGGGCAGGCAAGGGTGTCGAGATGGGTGATGTCTGCCAACAACTTGACCACCTTGTCACAGTAGTTCATGCCATAAAGATTGACTTCTCGCAGAGTTGAGGCGTGTGTCCTCAAAAGAAAATTGAGAAGCTCGCCTGTCTTCGGACCGTAGTAGCTCAGCTTCTGCAAAGACGATGGTGCCACGCTCCAATCTAGGCGACCAGTCAAAGGTAACGGTGTTTCAATTTTACCTTCCGTAACTCTCAAGTTCAGAGCTTGCAGTCCCTTGAGACTGAGCACAGAGCCAAGGAGATCCATAACACCTGCGTTCTCAAACGAGTATTGGGAGAGGTGAACTTGGAAACCGACCTCCTTTAAGCGCCCTAAAAGCCCATGGTGACGTATCACCAGTGCACAAAGGACTGCTTCAATTTCGGGATCAGCATCGTCAGCAAAGGAGGGTGAGAAAAAAAGATCCAGAGAAGCGGCCGCGGTCGTCGTGGTAGCGGCCAGTACGGCACAACTGACCAGATTTTCTTCATCCAGAATGAGTTTAGAGCAGCACGGCGGTGAGAGGTGGAGGTACTCGGCTGTAATGTGACGATAACGCCACACGCCCGGGTGACTTGCCAGGTCCCGCCAGCGGCGGCAGACGAGCCGACACTGAAGTATATCTTCATTGTCGACGAACTGAAGCACGGCGACCAGAGCGTCATCCGGCAGACACTCCATCTGTAGGCGGAAGGAACGCACAAATCAAAATTGGTGCTCTCCAATAGCTCGTCTTATCTATTCATCTGTGCCAGTGCAACACAGTATATACTTAAGAAAATATAGGATATGCACTGGTAAAACAAATGTAGGAAGTTGAACATCAAATGATGTGCAGTTTCAAGTGTGCAAACACTAAACACTTCATGATGTCGAACTGGACTTGACGTCAATTGGTGTACAAATATATTTGTACACTACGCGTGCAGTTTAGTAGTAAGACACCATGTAATTCGCAAAATCATGAGTTGCACACTTGTTTAACCAGTGTTCCAGGGTAAGACATAGGTCAGCATACTCAGGGGTAAAAAGCAACGACATTTCTGATTTCGCTTTTCCATAATAAATGACCGAGAAATAGAATTGTTAGGCACAACCTACGGTTACTCGACGTCAAATAACGTCGAACCCTTTCAAAGGGGTTACAACGCCGGATAAGAAACGCAAAACGCAAATGAAATTTGTCGGGGCGTAGCGGGAGACTGCACCTGGTCGTCACCATCTAGGGCGTCCCCAGGGGAGCAGGGCGGAGGAGAGCCTCCGCCGCGGACCCCATTAAGGTAGAGAGGCCCGACCCAGTCTAATGCGGTCAAAGGAATACACCCCTCTGGGGCCGGCGCAGCCGGCTGGAACTGCCTCAAGACATTTGCACACTTCTGATACACGCAAGGACGGGCCCCGGCCCCGCCACCCTGCTCCCCCACCTGTTCTCCGAGCCACAAGATGATCCACCGCCATCTTCTGACCCATTTGGCCGAGAGAGCTCTAAGTCAACGCGAAGCACCGGAGAGAGCCTGAGACACAACTTGTAATGACCCTGTCAAAATTATTATTCCGAAGTCCTTTCATCGGCGGACATCAGCCGTCCACTCTATGACATTTTGCTCTGCGACAGAACATCTTTGAAGATCCTTATCTCGTCAGATTGGTTCGTCCCCTCACATTTTTTTCCCTCCGACAAAATAATAAAAAAAACACAGCATCACGATTTCAACGAAGAAGCGTAAGCGCGAGAGTAATCAGATTGGATTGCAGATCTCCGTTTCATCGGACACTGCGAATACCCCCGTCCTCGGCCACATATCGCCAACATCAAGACGTAAGGCCCTTTTTTTAACTGTCCACCGTTTCAAGTAGAAAACCAAAATCAGACACTCTGATTACAAATACTGATAACCATTAACGGTACGAAAAATAATCAAACCAGTTCTAAATCAGACTACTGCTTTCAACGGCAAAAACACCTGGTGCCAACCACCCACGTAGTGATACAGCAAAAGATATGCACTGCGTAACAGTCTACCATAGGCTAGAGGAATAGGAATAATAGAGCTAACTGTAAGGGGTGGTGAAAGCAATGAGATTGAGCTGAGCGGGACGGGAGAAATTAAAGAAGTGATAAAAAGGAAACAGGGCGAGAGGCTCGATTATGTTGCACTAAGGCGTCGACCACTCAGATTTGTGGTGTAAATAGAATACCTGGATTATTTTTGAAATACCTGGAATATTTTTGAAATATCTGGTATACTATTGGCATCTCGAATATTTTTTGCATGTCTGGAATATTTTTTTCATATGTCTGGAAAACTTTGAGTGGAATACATGCGGAATATCTGGAATACTTTTGGAATATCTAGCTTTTTTGGGGATTTTTTTTTTCAGTCTGCACATGGAATATCCAAGAGGTCCGCCCCTCGTGTTGGACACAAATACCTGTCCATCAGTTCAACGTTCAAGAAGGCGAGGCTTCTACAGGGAGTAATTGTGTACTTCCACTTCACATTCGTCACATAAATAAGGACTCCCCTGCTGAACCCGCGTCTTTAATGTCGTTATATGCTCCACATAGTTTTAAGTATGTTCTCATATTTACGCTCCACAAAAATACTTCTTATTTTTATCAACCCTCAAATCATCTCTAGGATTCCCAGTTAAAAGGCTTACTGATTGGCTGGGGAAGAGAGCCGGGGGAAGGGAAAGGTCGCAGGCATGAGAAAGGGATGCTCTGCCGAGTAGAAAGTCCCGCTGAGATAATTTGACCAATGACCGAGTGAACAATGGAACATCATTCAGGGGCATAAAGGCAGACATTATTTCTTGCGCAGAGAGAGAGAGAGAGAGAGAGAGAGAGAGAGAGAGAGAGAGCAAAAGAGAAAGGGAGCAGGGGAGATGGACGAGAGGCTGCTGCACAAAGGGCGAGCACACTCCTTGGTGGTCACGTGCAGAGAGCGCACCCTCCCGCGCTTTTCAAAAAGGGACAGGAAAAAAATAAAAAACCGGGACAGGACCCTTCTTATGCCGTTTAAATCGAGATTGTTTGGACTCGTGTTTGTCGATGCCTCCGCCCTATCCTCCCCTCAGAGTGTCTCCTGGGGATGCGACTGATGAGGTGGTCGCGTTTTCAGTAAAGGACTGTAAGTAACCCTGGAGGTGGGGATTCTGACATACTTGGACACATTATCACCTCACTGTGTCCAAGAATAAGCAACCAACACGTTGTTTTGGGGAAACTTTAAAAAATAATGACACTCTCATAGTGCGCCTTACAAGTTCTTCAAATCACTTTCTTGATTAAGTCCCAAATTTAGATTCACACATTTAAGTACACTTTACAAAATGAGAAGTCCAAAATTGTCAGTGCACAACTTTAAGAAGGGTTATAAAGACGGCTTGTTCAGTCTCCATTTATGAGAACAAACACGATGAGCACATTGGCTTACGGCTCGCACTGCTGTTGCGCAACTCGTTAGCCAGGTCAGAGAGGCTGAGGGCGTTCCGATGAAATCCTTACACTTCCTATCTTCGTTTCTCTCGCCATCAACCCGGCCTCACCCCTCTGTCTCACTTCAACCCTTTTTCCCAGAGAAGCAATTTCTGATTTACATCGTCGTCCTGGAGAAAAGTTCCGTCGGGAGGGAAAAGAGAGGGGTCTGCAACGTTTTACGAGTTTGTCTCCGTTCTTTAATTATTTGCCAATGCAGATTAGCCGAAGACGCCCCCCGCCTCTGCTCCTCCCCCTTTGACGAAAAGGCCAACGACCAGACTCCATCCCATCAGGCTGATGCACGTTTCTCTCCTATTTTTTCCTGCGTTGCAGACAGCGCCTGGGCTGGGGCCTGGGCTGGAGCCTGGGCCGAGGGCTGCAGGCACCACACGCGTTGAAGTGTGTTGAAGGGTTGGTCCGCCACCAAATTGATTGGAACGAAGCCCCACCACGCCCCGCTGCAACCAATTCAATAATGCATCTCACTTGCATGACCTGTGGGCAGCCTGGGGCGTGGCGTGCCGCGGCGGGCTGTCGGCGCAAAGTATTGACTGTCAGAAAGTGCAGTCCGCTGCAGCCCACCCCGCCCGTCGGCATCGCCCCCTCTCCCCCAACCTGCTGGGGCGTGGCGGCGAGTAGTGCGCGGCGCAACTCATCTGCATAGCAGTACCCGCATGTCGTGACGCGTGCTGCACCCCATCCACAAAACAAATTATTTGAACATAACGCTCCATTTACAGCATGTAAACGTAGCCTACGTCATACATAAGCACACCTCGTCACGAAATAAGTAAAAAGGCATCGCGTGTATGTAAAGGACAACATTAGGGATCCTTCTGATGCAGGGCCTGACCACATTTGGTCCACGCCACGCTCGATTTGTTTCGCAATTTCGGCAAGAACGAGTACGACCGAATAATCGTCTTAAAAAACATTTCCCGCTCACTGCCTGTTCTGATCGGCACAATCACATGCGAATCGCGAGGAGCAGCAGAGAGCTGCTGTGCGGAGTCGCCGCGGACGCCGCGAGGGTTCCACGCACCGCCGCGCCGCCTGGAGGGCAGCACTGGACAAGCATTGGCAGGGCACGGCAGAGGAGGGACTTCTAATCGAGTGCGGCGAGTATAGTCAGCGGGGCACTATGTAGCCATACACTAGCTAGACACCGCAATAGGATTCCTTCTGGTGTAGTTGGTACAACTGCGAAAGCTCTTGCACGGGGAGTTGCGAGGTTCCGTGCTGAAGCTGACTCAATTATCCCCTGCCCAATCGAAGCGACAACTTTAAGGTGAAGCATATCTGCGAAATGGAAGTATCACTATAAAACAGTGACATTTTTCTTACCTCACCCTCCACTGTAAAAAATTATTAGCGTAAATTCAAAGGAAAAACTACCACTTTCTCCTTGTAAAACGTATCAATAGATTTTTAAAAAATTACCAGAAAGTAAAATTTTTAGTTTAAAGAAGCTTAGTACACAAATTATTTGTAAATAAAACTACCAGTGAGTCCTCAGTAAGTTGCGAACAAACTTTTTCCAGTGTACTGTATGGTGGATCCCCGGAAGCAACTGCTCACACAATTTTGGATAAAAACTCAAATTGAGCAAGATTATCCCGCTGAGATTATTCGGGTCACAGTTGTTGTCGCTCTGCTCAGAGCAGAGAAAGGAGCCAGAAAAATGCTAAAAACCGAAAACGCAGGGCCAGCCGGGAGAAGAAAGTTTATCTTCCGACTCCGCATTGACAGCGTGCGTGTAACACGGGCAGCAGTGTGGCAACCGCGTCAGGCAGCGCGTTGTACTCAGCCGCCCCGCCCTGCGACGCTACACTGTCACAAATCAACCGCAATTAGCCCACCGCGTCTTAATTGCTTCGATAGAGGCGCCCGCGAACTAAGGAAGGACTCCGCCTTGAAGCTCAGAGGGGGAATAAGCAGAGCACGCGGTAGAGGGTGAGCGGTGAGGGAGAAGTGGAGAAGGGGTTAGCTTGTGATTCTATCACGGCGACAGCATCACACAAGACTTGATGTGGGCCGCTCTCCGCCCCGCCATGGCGCGCCACCCTCCGTTATACCGCGGCTCAGCTTGCAGCCCGGCGGCGCCCGGCGGGTAGGCAGCCCATCCGCCACCCGCGCCGCGCGGCCGTGCCCGCCGGTGGGCGGCCAAGGAGACGCGAGCAGCCCTGCACTCGTCGAA